CCGGCCCCCGCCTGTGCCTGGGACTAGCACGGGCCAGGCCAGGGGGGCGGCTGGGGGAGAGGGTCAGGATTTAGCCCTGACGGAGCAGTTCTGTGGGCAAGGAGGGGTGAGCTGGGCCGAGCCGAGCGGTGCTTTCTGGCCTTGGAGTCATCGAATCCCTGGGCTGGGTGAGACCTCAGGAGGCACCGAGTCCAGCCCCTGCCCGAAGCAGGACCAACCCAACTCAACCATCATTGTCTTGGCATGTGTCCGACTCAGGGCTCCCCCTCATGCTGGCAGGTCTCCCCACTGAGCAAGCAATCAGACCCCCTGCCACACACAGTCTTCCCCCACCCCCGTCCAAATCACAGCCACCAGCACATCTGCTTTCCTGGGCTCCCGGCAGCGGCCGGAGGTTCTCCCCAACGGCAAATGTTCACCTAATCGAGCAAGCCAAGGAGTTAGGCTGAATCGCGGCTCCGATCCGACCCTCTGCTCCTCTGGCTGGGACGGTCCCGGGGTCCCAGGATCCCTGGGATCAAAGTGGCTCTGAAGCCGGCGAGAGATTATTTCCCTTCAACTGCTCCTCAGAGTAAAGAGCAAGGGAAGGAGGGAGGCAGCCAACAAGCTCTCAGCTGATCTGTGTAGGTCTGTGATTTGTACCCTCTGAGGATCCAGCACCATCGTTTCAGATGACGGCAGAACGAGGAGCGATGGGCTCACGTTGCGGTGGGAGAGGTCCAGGTTGGATATTAGGAAAAACTATTTCACTAGGAGGGTGGTGAAGCCCTGGGCTGGGTTCCCTAGGGAAGTAGTGGAGTCTCCATCCCTAGAGGTGTTTAAGTCTCGGCTTGACAAAGCCCTGGCCGGGTTGATCTAGTTGGGATTGGTCCTGCCTTGGGCAGGGGGCTGGACTTGACCTTCTGGGGTCTCTTCCAGCTCTGTGGTTCTTTGATGAAGCCTGTAAGCCGGTGGGACTCGCCTGGCTCCAGGGGGCTCGCCTGGACTGGAGACTCACACTGAATTCTGCAGGCAGCCGGGCCAGGCCGTGGTCGCGGATGGAAAAGTCATTGGGGGCGGGTTTATAGGGGAGCTCACTTTCACTTTCGTTAAAGGTGGGGCCAACTCAGCCCCGCCCTCCACTCCCGCCCAGTGGGGCCACTCTCTCTCCGAAATTTGAGACTAAACAGCTCTGCTCCAATCAGGGGCCTGGGGTTCTTCCTAAAAGTGGGAGGGCCCATGAGGCCCCGCCCACTCGGTGGCTCCTCCCCTTCTCCTAAGGCCCCGCCCCCAGCTATGCCAGAAGATGGAGCGGGTGGGGAGCCTGAGTCTTGCCATCTGCATAGGGTGGAGGGGCCCCGGAGCAGCCCCCAGCCCGTGTCCTCGAGGATCCCAGCTCTTACCCAGCATGGCTCTTATGGCACCCAGCCTGGCCTGGGGGCAGGGCCTTGGGGAAGAGCTGTCCAGGCAGTTGTGGGGAGCTCAAACCCTCCATTTGCCAGGGGTGGGGGACTCAGGGGCCAGGGACATGGGCCAGGTGTCCCCTCAGTCCGGGGCAGGTGCAGGGTCTGCAGCTCCCCACTGCTCCCCAAGTTTTTTGGATGCCCTTAGCCAAGCTGGGCTCCAGCTTCTGGCCTGGCCAGGGTGGGGCTTTGGGGGAGGGCCGGGCCTGCGTTGAAAAGTGGGAGAGCCCTGCCCCCCATTCGGGCCCACTGGCTCTGACCATCCCGCTGCACGCGGAGGCGTGTGAAATCCAAACCTCGGTTTGCAGGTTGGGGGCAGGTGCAGCCTTGCCCCAGAGCCGCACTGGGGTGACCGGATTCCTTTCTCCTCTGGCCTCAAGAGCCAACGAGGGGCCATAAAGCCCCCCCCTTTCGCATCAGAGCGGGAGGGGGGAGAGAAGCCAACCCAGAACTGTCCTCGATACGCGAGGACAAAGGGCCACCCTCGCTGGAGCAGCCTGAGGGGCCAGTCCCACAGACAGGACTTACCAGGCGCCGTTGGGTCGCGTTTCGCGCTTGGGAGCTCATGGCCAGGCCTCCGTGGCCGGAACGGCCCGGCCCTCCTGCCCGGGCTCCCCAAGGGTCTCCCAAGCACTTGTGCGACGTCCTCGCCCCGGCCCAGCCGCCGAACACGCACACGAGAGACGGGGAGAAAGGCAAGGCCCGGGAACCGCAAGGGTGGGCTGGGTCCTACGGTAACGTCGGGGGCCTGCCCCCCCCGCAGGGCCCCTTGTGCTGGGCACCCCAAGGAGACTGTCCTGGGCTGAAGAGAGGACACTAAGAATGGGAGAGCCTGGCAGAGGGCGGGAGGAAGGAAACAGGCGGAGGCCGGAGGGGGAGGGAGATGGCTGGGTTTGGGGGAGGGAGATTGACTGCCTTCCCCAGCCAGGGGGTCACGTGTGGAACCCCACGCCTGCTGGGTGGGGTGCACTGTACCACGGAGCGGTGCTGAGACCACTGACAGCAAGAGGAGGATTTTGCACTGCACCCTTAGTTGAGAGCCAGCTGGCCTGTATCTGTGGAACTCCTTGCCTGAGGATGTTGTAAAGGCTAGGACTGCAACAGGGTTTAAAAGAGAACTAGATACATTCATGGAGGTTAAGTCCATTAATGGGTATTAGCCAGGATGGGTAAGGAGTGGTGTCCCTGGCCTTTGTTTGTCAGAGGGTGGAGATGGATGGCAGGAGAGAGATCGCTTGAGCATTACCTGTTTGATTCATTCCCTCTGGGTCACCTGGCATTGGCTGCTGTGGGCAGACAGGACACTGGGCTGGATGGATCTTTGGTCTGACCCTGTCTGGCTGCTCTTCTGTTCAAGCTTAGAGGCTCCTGCACTGAGTACAAGAGGTCCCTGGTTCAGTTCCTCCTGCCGGTGTTACAGGGAGCTCTCTGGGTTCTGCACTGTCCTGTGTTTGCTTTTATATTCACCCTTAGTGCTTGTCCTCTGGCGGGGGGCCGACAAGCTCCCAGCTGAGGAATTGCCCGCGGCCTGCCCAACCCCATGTCAGAGCACGGCTGTTCCCTCGAGGCAGGAGCTGCCACCTCCGGGCTGCGGCGGGCAGGCTAATGAGAGCCCTGGGTGTATTTTAGTCCTGCCGGAACGGAAATCACAGCCCAACCCTTCCACGGTGCTTTCCATTCGAGCATGAGAGCAGCCAGACCGGGTCTGTCTAGCCCAGGACCCTGTCCTCCGACAGCGGCCAACGCCCGGGACCCGCAGAGGGAGGGAGCAGAACCGGGAACCGTCTCATGCTCCCTCCCCTATTGCCCCTTCCCAGCGTCGCACAGAGGCCAGGCTGCATAACGGCTCCAGCCAGGTATACAGTATGTCAGAGCCAGATGTAATCCGCTAAAACCAGGAAGGAAGAAGCAGCAGCGAGTGTCCAATTCCTGCAACTGTGTCAACAGGCAAATTAAAACTGCCCAGGGTGAAGCTTCACCCATCTTATCCCACCTCCCTGTGAGTTGCAGATTCCACGTCTCAATAGATGGCTTAACAAAAAATACCAAATACTCCCCCCCTCCAAAATCTGTTGAGAAAAAAAAGGGGGGGGGAGGAGACCAAAGTTATTGAGCAAAAATAGCCGGTATTTTCTGGTTTCTTTACCG